CTTTGAATGTATGTGTGCATGAGTCGGGTTTGGAGATCTTTGTGATCGATGCACAAGCAAAGCAGGAAGTGGGAGAAGTAGGCCGTAAATCAATATAAAGGGCTAATGTCTCCAACGGGAAGGAGAAAAATATCAGCCTTGCAACAAAAAACTTTCTATTCGGTAGTGAACAGGAAGATACATTCTGTGCATTCTCCAAATCATCTGTCAATTGTCTTTCCTACTCTGAAACCCAGCTGTTATTGAATACCTTGCCTTTGAAAACATAACTCAACAATCCCCATCAGGATTGCTTTAGAAGAGAAAGGGTGCCTTGGCAAAATGTTTGTTTCATTATAACTATCTGTCAGTGGGTTAATCATTTCATGGGGGGAATTTGGGGTACGGGGGCTTCCACATTCACGTATTCTAATGAGTGCATTTCCACAACATTTAATCATACCAATGTAAGCTTAATTAGAAACAGAGCAGAACCACCACCTTAACAAATCCTGTCTAAAGAAATAAATATGCTGGTAAATGTTTAAAAAGCATTAGTTCTGCCCCCATTAAAAGCTTAATGTAGGGGACAACAAACAGAGATTTCCTCTGAAATTGAAAATATGGAAACAATATTTTAAAAGTCATTAATAATGCCATTAGTATGAAACCAGAAAGCCAAATTTGGATGGAATTTGAAGTTTTGTTAATAGGGCCACTCGCTTTTAGAGATTTATAGCAGTCTTCCCTGATTACGTCTTTCAGATGTATTCTAATTCTTAGAATTTATGCATGACAGCCAGATTGGGAAAGGTTGATTTACAGTCTCTACATCCCTGAAAGCCCTAAACCCTGGGGACAATATGCCTTCCAAACAAGCCATTTAGGATTGATGGCTTTAAAAGCACACATACACACACACACAAAACACCAAAACCCCCACCCCTACCCCTACCAAATAGAAATGCTTTCTCTGGAAAATGCTATTTCCTATAATTGGTCTAAAGATGAAGTTCTTTATTTTTTTTTAATTCAAATATGCAGCACTTACCTTGAGCCAATAGGAAGGGTCTTTAGCCTGGCGGGGCTGAGAGCGTCAGAAGAGAAACGTCCTACTGGGAGCCATTTCCACCTATCCTAGGCTAGTTTGCTAGGTTTAGGGGGTATCTCTATATGACATTTCACAATTTTGATTCAGAATCCAGGGATTTTCATTTATATAGATTGATGCTACACTTTTTGAAGTGGAATGGAAGCAGGTTCTATTGTAACACAACCATGAAACTAAACAGGATTTAAAATTTACTTTACATTCAACAAATGTCATAGGGTAAAGTGACTTAAGGTAGAGGGGACCTGGGATAGCCTTTCTGCAATTTGAAACTGCAGCCATCCTCACTCAGATCTGGTAAATGGGCTACACCAGATTTCAAGGAGCTTCTAGTCTTTGAAGCTCAAACTTCACAATTTCATTTAAAAGAGCACAGAGCCACAACCAGTCGCTATGCGAGAGACTGACTCTCTGCTGTCAGCTTTCTGAATTTTAGCATGCACATTGCTACATGATAATATCATTTCATATTTCAATTGACCAGTTTCCAGCCACCTGTCCATTCTCATGTACCAGCTGACTGTCTAGGAACACAATGCTCTCACCAGCTGTTAGTGCATGCATGGAAGCAAGGCAAAGTCATTGAGCAGGATAACGGTGAGCACTTGTGGGACGGTGAGTCTAAAGCAGCACCCATGTATGCAGAAGGCTGTGATGGACACCTGGTGAATCACCCATGCCTTAAGAAGAACCATTCTACTCTCCTCAATAATACCCTCCCAAAGGAGGAAAGGACATGTGTCACTTGGAAAGCGATACCTGATAATTACATATAAGCATACACCATTCTATGTGTATCAGATAACGGTGGTGAATACGTAGAGAGATCTGTGTTAAATAGACACTACTTTACCAGTTACTAACAGCCACATCAAAATGTATTTAATTGCATTGTGGATTCAGGGCTCCTTTTTTGCAAAACCTCAGGAAGCCAGAGATCACAGTGGAACAGAAAATGCTATGCCATTGGTTAAAGCCAGCTCTGCACTCCTCCTCCAAATACGTTACTGAAAAAAACAGAGGATGCTGGAAAGGAAGAGAAGGACTCAGAAAAGCAGAGAAGGCAGGTGGGGGTTTAGAGCAGTTTTTTTTTTAAAAAAACTTTTAGCTGCTGAGGGCCAATACAGCAACTTTCAGAAAATGTAGGGACACCCAATTAAACAAACACCCTCCTTTTTCTTA